ATCGAGTCGAGGGAACCCGCTCCTCCCCACGACCTCTCACAGCTGGAGTCCCGCAAGGCTCTGTCCTCTCACCCCTCCTATTTAGCTTATTCGTCAACGATATTCCCCGGTCGCCGCCGACCCATTTAGCTTTATTCGCCGACGACACGACTGTTTACTATTCTAGTAGAAATAAGTCCCTAATCGCGAAGAAGCTTCAGAGCGCAGCCCTAGCCCTAGGACAGTGGTTCCGAAAATGGCGCATAGACATCAACCCAGCGAAAAGTACTGCGGTGCTATTTCAGAGGGGAAGCTCCACACGGATTTCCTCCCGGATTAGGAGGAGGAATCTCACACCCCCGATTACTCTCTTTAGACAACCCATACCCTGGGCCAGGAAGGTCAAGTACCTGGGCGTTACCCTGGATGCATCGATGACATTCCGCCCGCATATAAAATCAGTCCGTGACCGTGCCGCGTTTATTCTCGGTAGACTCTACCCCATGATCTGTAAGCGGAGTAAAATGTCCCTTCGGAACAAGGTGACACTTTACAAAACTTGCATAAGGCCCGTCATGACTTACGCGAGTGTGGTGTTCGCTCACGCGGCCCGCACACACATAGACACCCTCCAATCCCTACAATCCCGCTTTTGCAGGTTAGCTGTCGGGGCTCCGTGGTTCGTGAGGAACGTTGACCTACACGACGACCTGGGCCTCGAATCAATTCGGAAATACATGAAGTCAGCGTCGGAACGATACTTCGATAAGGCTATGCGTCATGATAATCGCCTTATCGTTGCCGCCGCTGACTACTCCCCGAATCCTGATCATGCAGGAGCCAGTCACCGTCGACGCCCTAGACACGTCCTTACGGATCCATCAGATCCAATAACCTTTGCATTAGATGCCTTCAGCTCTAATACTAGGGGCAGGCTTAGGGACCCCGGTAACCGTACTCGTCGAACTCGACAAAGAGGTCGACGTGCAACCTAACCCATGCATCAGCCCGCTGAGTTTCTCGCCGGATCTTCTCAGCGGGTCGCGATTCCGATCCGGTAGTAGATTCATTCGCGAAGCAGCTGCTCTTGAGCTGTTAGGTCTCCTTCGGAGGCGCTCGGGTAGCTGTTAGCAAATCCCACCCCTCCTGGCTGAGCCTTTGCTCGCCCACCTGTCCTGGTGAAACTGGAAAGGCCTCCGGGCCACCAGTAATCCTTCAATCATAAAAAAAAAAAAAAAAAAAACGATTCTCGAGAGATCATGCGGTCATCCACAGTGTCTTTCCAGAGGTCTTTTTTGCCACGTACCATCCGGCTATGGAATGAGCTCCCCTCCACGGTGTTTCCCGAGCGCTATGAGATGTCCTTCTTCAAACGAGGCTTGTGGAGAGTATTAAGCGGTAGGCAGCGGCTTGGTTCTGCCCCTGGCATTGCTGAAGTCCATGGGCGACGGTAACCACTCACCATTAGGTGGGCCGTATGCTCGTCTGCCTACAAGGGCAATAAATAAAAAAAAAAGATGGCAGCACGATTGTTTGACCGCGGAACTCGGCTAACTTCGTACTACGACAGAACCTAGCCGATGGAGGCGCATAGACGCCATCACACTTACCCACCAGTTTTCTTGAAGAGCGGTGCCTCCGTCCTAAGAACTGTCATTCGTTTTTGTTTACTAACGTTAATAGAAGATTTCTAAATTGTTCTAAGACAACAAACGTATTTGGTGTACTCAATAATTCTCTTAGCTCGATCACGCTATTCGCCCCTATGATGTCTGACGATGGTGTTAATAATTGTGGCTTCTCAGTGTTATGTTTGTAAGTAAGTATTCACTTCAGTGTGTCAATAAACGGTGAACGCAACGTACGTGTCTATTATTTACTAGTGGCGAACGCGGAAAAAAAATCAATTTGTGGCTTGTTTGTTTCTTGTTTGAACTAATTAAAATTATATGAACATAATGTCGGTCGGGCAGTTGAAAGAATTCGCGGTAAACAGTGGAAATTGGTCCTCATATGTTGAGAGATTAGAAATGTACTTTTTGGTGAATAAAGTGACTGACGATTTAAAATTACCCACATTAATTTCCGTTATGGGTGAGGAAGCGTACGATTTATTATCGACATTAGCCAGCCCTTCGAAGCCGTCACAGTTAACTTATGCTAATGCCGTGGCGATGTTGGCAGCTCACCTGCAACCGAAGCCCTCAATCTTGGCGGAAAGATACAAGTTTCGACAACGTCGGCAGCTGAATGAGTCAATAGCTGACTACGTCACAGAATTAAAAAAATTATCAAAAAATTGTGAGTTCGGCTCGTCGCTGGATGAAAATCTGCGTGATCAAATGGTTTGTGGATTAAAGAGCGAAATCATACGGCAAAGGTTATTTGCCGAGGAGAAATTAGAATATAAGCGTGCAGTTACGTTAGCTTTGTCTTTAGAAGCTGCGGAGAGGGATGCGATTGCAGTGGAACGTACGCCAATTGAGGAGGTTAACAAAATTAACTTCAATGAATGTTCAAGATGTGGAGACAGGAGACANCTAAACCAAACCTAAACCAAACCTAAACCAAACCTAAACCAAACCTAAACCAAACCTAAACCAAACCTAAACCAAACCTAAACCAAACCTAAACCAAACCTAAACCAAACCTAAACCAAACCTAAACCAAACCTAAACCAAACCTAAACCAAACCTAAACCAAACCTAAACCAAACCTAAACCTAAACCAAACCTTAGCCTAAGCCTAACGTCGCGAAGTGAATGACTGTAAGCTTTTCTAAATTATACAAAGAAGCTGTAATTACAATTCAACTAACGAAACTAATCCGAAAAGAAAAGTTTTCAACCTATTGCATATCTTTCGCGTTCTTTCGGGCTCTCTCGGAGGAGGTTGTCTCCGGGGGTGGGGCCTGGTCCGTGATAGGGGGGTGCTGGAAAGTCGGAAAGACACGGAGTGCCTCCCTACCTTCGCCGACTGGTGGACTGATGGATCTGTCCTCCTACTTGGACGACAGATCGGCCACGTGTACCGGATACTGTGGGATAGTGCACCGGTTACTGGTCATGCGTGGTGTTCCACAGGTTGGTTTTCGGCTTCCTCTTGTGGAATATCGTGTACGACTGGGTGCTGAGGAGCGCCCATCTCCTGTGCCTCCGCAGTATTTGTTACGCGGAGAACAGGTTGTTCTTTACCCAGGGGCATGATTGTAGAATCTGCCTGCCTCGCCACAGCGGGAGTGGCCCTCGTCGTCGTAAAGAGTCTAGGCCTCGACATGGCGCTCAGTAAATCCGAGGCCTTGTGGTTTTACAGGCCGCGGAGAGCGCCACCTGTCGACGCCCACATTGTGGTTGGAGGCGTCCGGATAGGAGTCGGGATGCAGTTGAGGTACCTCGGCCTCGTGTGACAGCCGGTGGGATTTTCCTGCTCACTTTGCGGTGCTGGTCCCCTGATTGATGAGGACGGCCGGTTCTTTGAGCCGGCTGCTCCCGAATATTGGGGGGCCAAATCAGGTTGTACGGCGACTCGACGCGGGGTTGGGCTCGATTTCTGCGCCGGCTGCACTGCACCGTTACCTTCAGCATCGTCCGAGGATATCACACCGTCTCCTTTGAGGCTGTGTGTATGTTGGCGGGGCCGCCGCCATAGGAGCATGGGGCGGGGTGCTTTACACCTCGCCCGTAATAGGAAGCCGGGTGATAGTAGACCGCGTTCCCCCCACCGCTTCGGAAGAAGGTGCAGTATGGCGCCATCAAGACCGAGGGAACCGGTGGTCGTGTTGCCAGCGGCACCGGTTCAGCGTCTTGGGGACGGCGGGATGGATGTAATATGCTCTGCGTAAACCCTGTCCTGCCGTCTCAATAATTCTGACTGTGCGGCAGGAGTTTTTAGTGAGGTTCAACTCCCACATAACCCTTTTTTTTTATGATTGAAGGATTACTGGTGGCCCGGAGGCCTTTCCAGTTTCACCAGGACAGGTGGGCGAGCAAAGGCTCAGCCAGGAGGGGTGGGATTTGCTAACAGCTGCCCGAGCGCCTCCGAAGGAGATCTAACAACTCAAGAGTAGCTGCTTCGCGAATGAATCTACTACCGGATCGGAATCGCGACCCGCTGAGAAGATCCGGCGAGAAACTCAGCGAGCTGATTCATGGGTTAGGTTGCACGGCGAACTCTTTGTCGAGTTCGACGAGTACGGTTACCGAGGTCCCTAAGCCTGCTCCTAGAGCTGAAGGCGTCTAGTGCAAAGGTTATTGGANATCGAAGGCGAGATCATCGACTAACGCGTCAAGCCGCCTGCCATTCGGGGTTGTGGTGTGTGAGTTCCACCTGATGTGTTTACAATTTAGGTCGCCCGCCAGAATGACAGAGCTCCCCATGCCGAGCAGCGCCTCGATATCACTGCTTAGAACGATCTTATCCGGTGGAAGATAAACGGACGCGATAACGATCGGCGCGTATCCCGTCAGTGAGATTCGGCACACTGATGCTTCGATATTAGCGAGCGCGGGAGGATCGAGCGGGACGCAATGCAGGGCTCTTCTATAGTAAATGACGGTACCACCACCACGAGCAGAGAGCCTGTCGTTCCTGACCATGGCCACATAACCCACCCACTGCGCGGATGGGGATCTGGCGATTTTCTCCTCTGAAAAAAAAAAACTTAACCGAAACCTAGCCTGTGCGCCCCTGTGCGCGCTGGATAATGTGACCTTATTCTGATTGGAATGGGTATTTTGTATGTAAAGCTTTCTTTTATTATTAATCTTTATTATATTATCTTATTAAGCTTTTATTCCTGATTGTGTGTGATGTTCTTTTCAGCTAAATAAACCCTTTACTTTTGGCATGAAGCCAAGAACGAAATTTGTTCATTGTAACTTATTTACTTCATAGTGAAATTTCAGATAGCCATTATTATGTATATAAGTTTTTTGTCGATGAGATTACCACATGGGAAAATGAAACAGCAACACTAAAGTTCTTGTAATTTATTTAACTAATATCACATTTTGATTCGCACTGTTCCGATATAATTAGTTCGCGTCCCGTGTGAGCACAAGCGGCACGGCACCGGTCAGACTAGCACGGGCACGCGGCGCAGCTTGCCGCGAGCGGGCCCCGCGCGCTATAAGGGCATGTCCGCGCCGAGCACCGCCACGGCCAGCTCGGCCGAGGGCGGCGCCGAACCTCCAGCACCGAACGCCGGCAGCCCGGCCCGCAGCGCCTCTAGTTGCCGCGCGTCCAGCCGAACGCCGTTCTCTTCCACCGCGCGACGCAGCCGCGGGTACAGCTCCGACTCCTCCTCCGTCTGCACTTGACGATCCGTTGACGAGCGCTCTGCCAAACACATCTCGAGACTTAACGCATCATCGTTAACTACAATATTGGGGTTTGTATTTCTGTATCGGAATGATGTTCTTTCGCTGTTTAATATTTAATTTCCCAATAACTACTGCCCCCCAAGCCCCCAACTTTTTCTTTTTGCCAACTTTCGACTTTTTCCCAACGACAACGTTTTTATTCACTAAAATTACATTCAATTCATTCATTTTTCAAATATTCTACATTTCAGAATAGATTAGTTGGGAGGTCGCAGCCTATATTACCATATACAACTCACCAGGTTCGTTCAAGGTAGAAAGGTCGGTGGAGGGTGTAAGGTCGGGTGCGCGAGGGAGGGGAGCGGTGCCGACCAGCGCCGCGCACACCGCCCCTCCCGCCGCGCCACCCCTCACTCCTCCCCTCCATCGCGTCGGCATCAGGCTCGCACGCACGTTTCGTTCCGGACGCACCAGGATTATATACACCTGCGAAGAGAGTTCGTATTATGTATTTAATTACGTAACGTTTACAAAATAGAGACCATACTATGGTATATCGTATGGTCGTATCGCATGGTAGAGCACGAGCGCTCCGGAAGGTTCGACGCGTTCCAGAGCGAGAACAACCGATATGGTGATGCAGGGCGAGTGCTACCGACGGGTACACAGAGTGCCTACAGAACGCACCGGCATTGTGTTACTGTGAACCGGCCATTTTGAAGCAGAGAATGTATAGCATGAAAGGCATAATATAATAGGTATGTACCTAAAAGCCCGTTCTGAAGCAGACGGTAACTTGAACCCGAGTGTTGGAGCTCACCTTCGGCGAGAACAGGCAGACGAGCGTGACGCTGGCGCTGAGCGATATCGTGATGGCCATGCTGGTGACGCGCAGGGGCACGTGGCTCGCCGTCCCGAAGTACAGCGGCACGAACGCCAGCCAGATCACGCACGTCGTGTACATGGTGAACCCTGAGCAAGAGTACGACGCGCTTGAGTTCAGTTTTGTTAACGCTGTTGCGTCGCCCCGTCGGTAGGGGTCAAAAGCAGAGAGTACTGTACCTATGTGTTTGCTTTCGTTGAAGGCTTCTGGTATCTTGCGCGTCAGAACGGCGTATACTGTACACACCAAGATGAGCACCACGGGGTAGAAGAAGGCGATGGTGTAGGACGCATCCACGTACGAGTCGCAGACCAGCATGTTGTCTTCGCGCGTCGGGTAGTGATGTATGGCGCGCGCCGGTGACACTATCTGCCACACCACCACTATCACCACCTACACTTCGATGTAACAGGGATACGTACGAGCACATCAACGAGATCGAGGATTCATTCGTTATACGTTACAATGGTGACGATCGATAATCACCTGGACAGATACGAGGGCAGAACAAATGAGCAGCTGCGACTTGGGCGAGATGAGCGAGGGTCGGCGCGCGGAGTGCTTGCTAGCCGCGAAGATACGAGCGATGCGGTTGGTCTTTGTGAGCAGCGCCGCATACACCACCGTGAAGCAGAACCCGGTGCCGAAACTATAGAATCGGTAGGTACATAGAGAGGAACGTGGAAGATATTGCACATTATATTGCAATAAGTAATGAAATATTGCGCAGGGATGTGTTGACTGACCGCTGAAGAGCGCAGAGAACATCTGTTGGTCTGAAGACGAGTGCGAAGGTGACGAGGTAGCACATGAGGATCCCCGCGAGCAGCACCAGCGACAGCTCCCGGCCGCTCGCGCGCACCACTGGCGTGGAGCCGCGCGCCGCCCACACGCACACCACGAACCTGAACACGGCTGTACTCAGATGTCTCTCATAGTATGTATCACAGACACTAATACTTGAAAAATTTATTTAAAAAAAAAAGAAACCACCTATAAGCCCTAAGTTTTCTTGGTAAAAAAACCGTTGTCGTCTTTCACAATCGAAATTGAGCACGCTGTCAATACGGCACAGTACACAGCGCGCTACAGTGTCCGAGCGAGGGCTGGAGTAGTAATGTCACCTGATTCTGTTTGCCTAGTGTACGTGGTACTTCATAGTATCGTTATCTCTAGTATAAAATAGGTACTGACACTGTGAGGATGATTCCAAGGGAAGAGAAAGTCATAGCGGCGACAGCAGCAGCAGAGTCGGGTCGCAGATAGAGCTCCGGCACGGGCGCGCACCGCGTCCGGCGCGGGTCCGGCAGCGTGCCCAGCGCGCACTCCACGCACGCCGTCTCCGAGCTCGGCGACCGGACCTGCACGCACACAAACACCCCGTCCAGCACCGCCGCCCGCGCGACGCCAGCCACAGCTCGTGGGAGGGGAGGGGGGTGTTCTCACCTCGTACTGCGTGCAGTTGAAGCAGTGCCAGCAGCAGCTCTCACCCTCCACGTACTGCTTGGCTTGTCCGAGCTCGCACTCCACGCTGCACACCGACTCCGGGGGTCGGGCTGATTCCCACTTGAACTGGATATCTAACAAACACCACAAATATCTATATTATTAATGAAGATACCAAGATATTGCTACCAGCTCTACACTGACTGTTTCATTTCTAGTCCTCCTTGGGTTACTTTACCGTCGATGTCCAGTTCGAGCTCTCCGTCGAGGTAGCGGCCAACCTTCAGCCAGCGGTAGACCCCGGGCGACAGCTGCTTGAAGTGCAGGATGTTGTATCGCGCGGGGCCATCGCCGTTGCTGTCGAAGTGGAACTCATCCCCGCTCAGACCTGCGTCGTCACAATTTCGATTATTCATTTTTTTTATTGTTATGAACTAAGGCTCAGGATGCAGCGTGCCGCACTGGTGCAACTTAATCATGCACTCGAGCGTCATTGGGAGTTATCGGGATTCCCGGATCTTCGGATTCCCACATCTTTAACGATTACATTATCTACTACAGTATTGCACTTCATTATTATTTGTTCTACAGTTTTAATCTTTTAATAAACCTGTAAATACGAACCAAATCGTTTCATTGAAGTGAACAACAAGACATCCAGCAAGGAACAGTTAGCGCCGCTGTTGTTTATATTAAATCCTACATATTATTATCACTACTGAACGTACATAATAATATAAATAGAAAACCAAGAATGAACCTGTGAAGCGAACTTGTCGCAGATAGCGCAACAGCGTCGGTCCGCTGGCGGGTCGCATCGCCTCGCACAGTCCCGGCTCTCCTCCGCACAGGTCCGCGTGCATGTCTCTAGCCAACCAACATCAACTTATTGTTATTGAAGAGAACCACCGTTGGCAATGCTTCCATTTGGACGAGAGAGATGATTACCTAATGGCGTGCGCGAACGCAAGCACGGCGTCGGTGACGAACTGTAGCTGAGCCTCGAACTCTATGTTCCCTGCGGAGAGTCGCTCCCGCCCCGAGCACAGCCGCGAGTACTGAGCGTTGTAGGGCGTGCGGGCGCTACCCGGGTATCGACACCGGAACTGATCCTCCCAGAACTCTGCACACACACAAACACATGCATGTTTCGGTTCATTGAACACATGAGACTCAAGCAATATAATAACTAGGTATATATTTTATGCAGTTATTGCATTACCTACGAACCAGGGGTTCCTCGGGTTGTTCTCTACGGTGAGGTTGAGGAAGTACTCCTTGAAGCCGCGCACAGGGTTAGCCTGGGGCTGGACGCTGATAGTTCCCTCGACGGCCTCCTCGTTTCCGTCCGAGACCAGCGCCCGAGCGCTCCAGCCGTCCGAGCCGACCCAGCTGAAGGCTCCGGTGGCCCCCGCGCGCGCCACCGCCGCCATCACGCCTGCCACTTCTTGATCCGAACCGAACACGATCACTCCTGTACGACAACACACACTCGTCACTGCTGTTTCTACGGTTGTTCCTACGAGGCACACATTACTCGTAGGTATCCATATAATTGAGAGTCCACAGGTTTGAGTTGTGACGCTGACCTCGGGCCCGCGGTCGCGACAGCAGACGCGCCACGATGTTGTCGTAAGCTCGCTCGTCCGCCTCCCCCGAATCTTTTACCAGCCTCTCCTTCACCGCGATACAGATCTCATTGCGTGCCAGTAAAGTTTCCAGTTCTTCAAAAGCCTAAAATAAATGATTTATTGATAATACAGTAAAAATGTTATTACTCAGCAGATGCATCCATTGCTTAAAATATGAAGTCATACCTTAATGCCGTAGTTGGATTCTTCGTAAATGATAGAAACATAGCGCCAGCCCAATTTCTTGACTATCTCTACCATAGCCCGCACTTGGTGAAGGTCAGATGGAATAGTTCTAGTAAAGTATTCAAATCGAGCTTTGTTCGAAAGCTCTGGAGAAGTCGAAAAAAATGACACCTTGAACAAAATTAGTTTTAAGCTGATAGAAAGAGATAGTAGAGGGGACGGTGAGCAGAGTGGCCGAATATATGACGAGGTTTTATTACCTGCGGTATCTTGAACAGTCGCAACAGGTTAGCGACTTGCACGGACGTGACACTGGAAGCCGCGCCCACCACTCCGGAGATGACCTTCCGCACGGCACTCGCGTTGCAAGCGTACTCCGCGTCGTCGATGTTGCTGATGGAACCTTCCAGCAGCAAATCCGTTGAGATGAGCGGCGTGTGTCAACCAGAGCATCACAGGAACGAAGGACAGAACGGTGCTTACCTTTGATGAAGTCGAGCGCCATTTCTAATCCATAGGTGTCGTTGTCGCAGTCGTCTAGGACGTGTGCGCCGAGGCTGACGGCGGGCGGGGCGAGGGCCCGCGCCGCGTCCAGCGCGAACAGCATCGCCTCGAGCGCCTGCACGCCGCCCTGCGCCATCACCGGCCCGCACGTCGCCACCTCCGACCGACTGTGCACCTGTCGCAACGCTCTTCGTTAACTCATCATTCCAAATTCATCTTAATTTTTTCAAATCTCATTTATTTATTTATTTGGGAAACAAACAGTACAATACAAACATATAATATTTAAAAAAATATAGCTAAAACAATAACCAAAAATGTTTCCACAATCAAAATCACATATAATTAGACAGTGAACAAGAAGAGAAATTTAGAAATTTAAATTACAAAAAAAACAAAAGCAACACAATACGCACATATTATTTTATACATCAACTATACTACTTATCGGGCTAAATCACCTTATCAAAGTTTTAAAATAGCTTTTCTATATGCTACAAGTGACAAGCAAAAGATGTCAGCATTAGAGAACTTAGCATCATAAAACCTACAAGATTTAATGCTACATTTTCTATTACTAGTACATCAGCGACACAAAATGGCTTTGGATTCGAGAAACTTTCATTCATCTGCGTTCATTTATTGTCGTTCAGCTTAACATTAATGTGCAGAATCTCAAAAACCAAACTGCGTAGTGTCACCCAGACTGTTAGTGCAGTTTTTTTTTGTGAGTGAACCTCGCTATAGGACATTAGTTCGGTATACGTCTTGGGTCCAGTCATCGCGTTGTTTGTCCGAGAGTATGGTACAGAAGCGACTTTGTACTACGTGCCGCCTTAACCGACCAAAACCGTTTCACGTTCTATCCTTCAAGCTCACAAAGTTTGGCACATTGGTCTTCTAATTATTCAACATGGGCGTGCTGGACAGTCTCGTGCTCATCATACGGGACTTCTTGTCGACCGCTCTTTTCGTTATCGAGTAGAGGGAACCGGGCCCTCTCCGTGACCTCCCACGGCTGGAGTCCTGCAAGACTCTGTCCTCTCGCCGCTTCTTTTTGTTTTGTTCATTATCGGCATCCCGGTCACCGCCGGTCACCGCCGGTCACCGCCGACACCACCTTTTATTATTTGAATGTTTAAAAGGGAACTAATATGCCTTAGGCGTAGAAACCACACTCCCCCGATCACCGTCTTCCTGTGCCCGGAAGGTTAAATACTTGGGAGTCACCCTGGATGCATCGATGACATTCCGCCCTCACATAAAATCTGTCCGCAGATAATCTGTCTGTCGTCTCGGCAGACTTTACCCCATGATTTGTAAGCGAAGTAATATTTCCCTTCGGAATAAAGTGACAATTTAAATAGTTGTATACGATTCGTCATGTTTGAACACATGTACGCGAGTGTGGTGTTTGTTGACGCGGCGACCTGGGCCTCGAATCGATAATGACGAATTCGACGTGCAACATAATCCATACCTACATCAGCCCGCTGAGTTTCTCGGTGGGTCGCGATTCCGTTCTGGTAGTAGTTGTATACCCACTCCTAGCTGGGTTCGTGCTCGCCCACCTGTCCTGGTGCAACTGGAAAGGCCATAGGGCCACCAGTGAACCTTCCTTCCTAAAAAATCTACGTGTCGCAACTCGGTTCAAAGTTTATTTCTGTAGCTGCTCAAGAAAACAAGGTAAGCTTCAACACGCATTCCTCATGCACATTGATCAATTCCATACGCACCTAGAAGTAGTAGTGCTCTAGTATTTAGGATTCCGGTGCTCGAAAGGAACAAACGGAACTATCATAATACAACGTACAAGTTTTATCCGCCTCATACTTCAGATCGTTTTCTAGAAGTAACAGACTTTTACCAGACTTTACAAGTGTTCGGCTAATTAGCTAAATATTCATTTTTTACTTTGACTAAAAGTAGAACTGTGATGACTATGATGCTAGTCTAGTTATTTCATAGAAGTTACTTATTTTCAACATCAAATCGGTGAATATGTACATATGTATTTGTGAAAAGAATAAAGGCGGTTTCACACTGCAATGCGTGTGTGGAGCGGTGGTTCAGTCCGGTGAATCAGTTATGGGATCGTCTCCCTCTCGGAACTAACTTGAATGTTGACAATATTCGTAGCTAAATAACACTTAGCTAACAATCATGAAAGCTATATTTGTAAGGCTCGGTGACTTGTTCATTGTATTCACCCGTAACAAATCTCTTGATCGTGGAATGCTCTGTAATTTAGAAATCTCATGTAGTAGCCGTAACTGCAACCACCAGAGCTTGTAATAGTAAAGCGGTGCTGGGAGATGGCGCTGTACTGGTTTTCCGAGTAGTGCTATATATGTATGTATGTATGTATATGACACATAGTTTAATATTTCAAAAAATGTACATATATGTATATGTACCTATATATGTAAATAAGGTGTAAATAAGGTACCTATATATGTAAACGAGGTGGGTAGCGCATCTACGTTGTAGATGTCTATGGGCTCCAGTAACCACTTAACACCAGGTGGGCTGTGAGCTCGTCCATCCATTTAAGCAATAAAAAAAAAAAAAAAAGATTTATTATTTAAAACTCTTTAGTTTTTAAAAAGGATTTTTCTTGAGTGTCTTAGAGTGAATTCTGTCATTGAGTAAAAAGAGAACTCAGTTTTGTATAGTTTTTGTAAAAACTTTTCTTTTAGAATGCTGGCCACAAAAAAGTTTATTGAATTCGAATTTCGAATTGTTCATGAAAATAAAAATGTATACTTTTAGAATTTTACTCATTTTTTAATATGGAGTGGACGCTTAAAGAAGACCGTGTTGCAGTAATTGCGTTGCATCGTTGCGGTTACGCGCCAATTCAAATTTTTAACATACTGAAAAATTTGAATATAACCAAAAGATTCGTTTATCGTACCATCAAACGATACAATGAAGACTCTAGTGTAGATGACAGGTCAAGAAGTGGTCGCCCTCGGTCTGTTAGGACTCCAGCAGTGATAAAAGCTGTGAAGGCGCGAATTCAAAGAAATCCCAAACGTAAGCAGAAACTGTTGGCCCTTCAGATGGGGTTAAGCAAAACCACGGTGAAAAGGGTGTTAAATGAAGACTTAGGGCTTCGGGCATATCTTAGAAAAACAGAACATCGTTTGAATGCTCGTCTAATGGACTTGAGACTGAAGAGATGCCGCGCTTTGTTGAAGCGGTGCGCGGGAAAAAAATATCGGGAAATTCTTTTTTCGGATGAAAAATTTTTTACCGTAGAAGAGAGCTACAACAAACAAAATGATAAGGTGTACGCACACAGTAGTGAAGAAGCGAGCAACCGTATTCCGCGTGTCCAACGAGGTCATTTTCCATCCTCGCTCATGGTATGGTTGGGCATTTCTTATTGGGGCTTAACAGAGGTACATTTTTGTGAGAAAGGTGTAAAAACGAATGCAGTTGTGTATCAAAATACAGTCCTGACGAACCTTGTGGAACCTGTTTCTCATACCATGTTCGATAACAGGCACTGGGTATTCCAACAAGATTCGGCGCCAGCTCATAGAGCGAAGAGCACACAAGACTGGCTGGCGGCGCGTGAAATCGACTTCATCAGGCACGAAGACTGGCCCTCCTCCAGTCCAGATTTGAATCCGTTAGATTACAAGATATGGCAACACTTGGAGGAAAAGGCGTGCTCAAAGCCTCATCCCAATTTGGAGTCACTCAAGACATCGTTGATTAAGGCAGCCGCTGATATTGACATGGACCTCGTTCGTGCTGCGATAGACGACTGGCCGCGCAGATTGAAGGCCTGTATTCAAAATCACGGAGGTCATTTTGAATAAACTTTAGTGTCATAAGAATCTCTGTTTTGTTAAGTTCATTTTGGTATATGAATGGTTACATAATGAATAAACTTGTTTCAATTATTTTACATTAAACATGTGACAGAATTTATGACCTGACTAGGTATATATTTCTAAGCGATTGCTGTAAATTGAACATTAACATTAACATAACATTAGTCTAGTTTAGTCTAGATATAGCGATTCGAAACAGATGTATCTCGGAATCCAAATCTAGATAGTCGATATGATGGAACCGAAAAAATCTAAAAAAATCGATGTGTTTGGAATTGCTTGTAATTTTATTTGCGTAGAAAAGGAAACAGATATGGTCACGTTGGAAGCGATGCCTTTTGATATTCGATTATGCTGAGAGAGCTATAATTATGTCGTGAGAGAGTGAGGGTATGTACAAGTACCCAGAGCCTTGTCCCGCGGTCGTCGGGCCCCCTCCGCTGTGCACTCCGTACGATTATTGTAACGATCACGCTCCTTTATAAAACTATCATAAAATATATTTTCGATCCATTAATTTATTTTTTCATCTTATTTTTATTTAAATAACATCGTTGCTTATGTTCAGTCATCTAAGGCCATAACAACTGTACTGTATTCGAAAAGTGGGAAAGCATAAAATGTAATGAACAAACCGAATTGCTTGTTTTAACCTTATCGTTCTCTTATTTATATTGTCGTTGCTTGCATGCGACTAGTTTTTGCACACGTGCGTATTTCAATAAATTATGAAATAAGCTTTATATAATAATATATGACGATATTCTGTCTACAGTGCTTACTGTAGTTCGTACAGCGCTTGTTGTTATGAAGACCAACAGAGCTCTGTGCGTGCTATATAGGAGACAGTTTGTCCTTTCGCGCTGTTTATTTCGTATGTAAAGGATAACTAATTCAATAATGGATATGATCCAGACTTTACATGAGCTATCATTATAAGTTTACATCAATAAGATGTACGGGGCCGCACCGCTAGATACCGCACACTCATGCCTTAAACAGACGCTCCTCCACACACTCCGGTACGACTACACACACACACACGCACGCACACGCACGCACATTACATACAGATTAGTGAAATGTTGTAATCTTAATAAAAGCTATAGTTGCAATCGAAATGAACTGAATTTTACAGAGCTGTCCGACAGTCGGACCCCGCTGTGTTGTACATGTAGTACAGTATGGTGTAGCGAGGGTACGGGCCGGATGTTGGTGTGCCGGAGGACTAACTACACAGAGTGCGACTGACCATCATGAGTCCGCCGAGGATGATGTCTCCGTCGACAACGGCAGCGTGCTTCACGGGCCACACCGTCTCGTTCTCCCACACCTTCTTCTTGACTCCAACTCGTGACGACACGCTAGCGTCGACACCCTTCGATTCACTTTTACTTTTAAGTTTTAAGGAATTTTTCGGATTCGAAATTTGTGTGAAGGGTGTAGAGACTCTATTCGTAGAGATAGTACTGTTTGAGATGAGCGAAGTGGTGAGCTCTATCGGATCAGCGAGTGGAGTGGTGTCGACGACCAGAGACACATTGGCGAGGCTCGTGGCCAGCAGCTCAGCGAACATACTGGCGGACAGGTTGTCGGAGAGGAGGGAGGAGGGAGTAGGGTTTGGCGAGTCTCCTTGCTTGCTCTGCAGCTTCTTTCTCTTGAAGATCTTTGAAATATCGAAAGTGGCAATGAGGGTGTGTGCGTTTCTTTTACTTCTGAGTATATGAGAAGGCAGCAAGTCATCATAGAACAGATGAGTCGTGGGGTCGGTCAGAGAGGAGCTGATGTTGGCGGGGTGGGCGCGGTCGGCGTGCGAGGCGAGGGCCGCCGTCGCCAGCAGCGTCGCCAGCAGCACGCGAGCCGCCGCACTCATCGGTGCCGAGCTGTCTGCCGCAACCACAGCGTGTCTGCATCACTCACATCATACATCTAGCCGGCCATGTATAACCATGGCTTTTATTTACCTATTCAATCGCATCGTAATTTTGCGTGTTTAGTCACGCTTTGTATTGTTTGTGAAATAAAATGACAACCGAGGTGTACTGTGTAGAAGGGTATTTATTCCTTCTATTGTTGGGTTTGAATCCCGTAAATATTATATGAGGATGTTATCGTGAAGTCGTAAAAGTTGTATAAAGCGTGTTTAGTGTGTCAGAGCGACTCGTGCGAGCGCGCGCGGGAGCGGCGACGTACTGCCGCGTAGAGCGCCCGTAGACGTGCTACGGCTACGAGCGGCGCTACGGAGCGGCGGACTCTACGAGAAACGGCCTCTTCTAGACACGTCCGGCGTGCTGTGGATTCCCGTGTGGTTACTGTAACAATACGCGTCTACTGAGTCGTCTATTGAGTGTTTATAGTTATTCAATTTTTAACAATTAAACAGTTTGATCTAAAATTGTCAAATACATATAAATGGCATTCACTTGTGCTCTCGTAGTATCGGTAACTCTAGAATGAGAGTTATTTTGAGGCTTTTATTGAGGTAATACTTTGTTAATAGGCTTACTTGGTTAATGGGCATTAGGCCGTCAGTTCGTGTCCATGAGGGCCGATATAAAATTCCTTAGGCGGTGTCTGGCGTTGTATAAGGTAAACTTATTCGATACTCACAAAGATCAGTAAAAGTAGTACTAAAATAAAAAAGCGATATTCTTAAAGAGAGAAGATGTTCTTGTAGTCATCGTGGCTTTAAGGATAAGACATCCGGTATATTCGTATCTAGCGATGCACCGGTGTGCGAATTCCGCAGGCGGGTACCAATTTTTATAATGAAATACGTACTTAATAAATGTCCACGATTGACTTCCACGGTGAAGGAATAACATGGTGTAATAAAAATCAAACCCGCAAAATTATAATTTGCGTAATAACTGGTGGTAGGACCTCTTGTGAGTCTGCGCGGGTAGGTACCACCACCCTGCCTATTTCTGCAGCGAAGCAGTAATGCGTTTTGGTTTGAAGGGTGTACAGCCGTTATTTACAGCATACTTGAGACATTAGAACTTATATCTCAAGGTGGGTGGCGCATTAATGTTGTAGATGTCTATGAGCTCCAGTAACCACTTAACACCAGGTGGGCTGAGAGCTCGTCCACCCATACAAGCAATAAAAAAGAGCTCTTTGGTCCACATTTGGACCCACTCTGTTCCTGTCTGTCTGTTAGATACTTCAGCGCGTTTTTATTTGGAACGTGCAGAGCTATTCAAATGAAATTAGCACCAGTTGCTGTGGAAAGAAAATGTCAAGCTTCTCAGCCAACGCAAGCCGATAATATTATGGTCATATGTTTTCGTCTATAAAAACTACAGAACACATCCTTGGACTTGGAATCATCAGATTTATCAAGAGGCAGGCTATCTCTTTCTGTACCTCTGTTAGACACAGATATAATTTTGTTTTTAAGCTTTAGTTACCGGGCTAAACATCGACGGCTACTTACAAAAATTGGGGAGAATTTTTTTAGAGCGATTAGTTTATCTTCCTGACGTGCAAAAAGATAATAACCAAATCGCTGATGGTCGCACTGACTTCTGTTTTTATACAAATAATAATTAAAAAATGAATCGAAATTTTTACTAGTGTAGAAAATTTACTTTTGGTATAACAGAATTGTTCAGTATTTCATTTTTGCAGTTTCATTTTTGTGTAACTTGGTATCGCTTCTAATCATCTGTGATCATTCTTGTGCTGTGCCGAGTGTGTATGTTTCATCTCAGTAAAGTAGTAAACGCTACAAGGTGGTTATTACTCTCTATTTGAAATAGTGTATGAAACATTTTTTTAATAAATATTTGATAAGTAACCTAACTGGCTATATGATATTTAATTTCCGCGCGACAACACTCGCCGCCATGCCGCTCCGACGCGGGACGAGAGAGTGGGATGCAGACGATGCAGTACACCAGCGCTCTGCGATAACGGAGCGGTCGTGGTGCAATTAATAAATATAATATAAATACACACGTACAGTCCACGAACAACATCAGTATGGGAGGACTGCGTCGTCTTATTTACGAAGACTCTTAGCTGGATCTGGAACGCTCGGCGTGAAAGTGCTATTCGAATTGGCCAGTTTTTTTTAATGAACATAAGCTATTTTAATAACCATTTAATCCCGAGAAAACGGTCCGTAATACGAAGAGCCCCGTTCTTTCGTTGTGGGCTGTCCAGTGCGGAGGAGCGGCTATACGTGTGCAGTGTGTACGCGGGGCCCAGCGTCCACAGCGATGGACGCACAGAGCGGCTGTGAGGAAGCGCTTAATGAGCTTTTACAAAACTGCTAACAAACGGCTTTATATTCATAAAAGCTGTTTGTGAAAACCACTATTAACATTAGGTGCTTTGGAGTGCTCCACACTCATTACCAACGCATCGCCGCCTTCTCGATTTCTGGTTTATTACATAGATGGATGAACAAGATCATGGCCCGCCCAGTGTTAAGCGGATATCGGACCCTATGGAAATTCCAATAAGAGTGCCGCCACCCGTCTTGAGATATTAGCTCGAAAACTCAATTCTATGGCACAGTGGCTGACCCAATCGTCAACCCGAATTGTAAATGTCTCCCGACTCACCACTGACAATTTCACAAACAAATATTGGCAAGCTGTTGTCGTTGATTTTGCTTTTACTACATATTCATACAGTTTTTATTTACCTACACATTCTTTCTATATTAATATTGAGCAAGTTTTGGATTACATTTAATTTTGCGACGTATCAATGTGGGTTTTGACTCAATGAATTAAATTAATGTGTTGGTTTATTTTTGATCAAATCTGTAATGTTTTAATTGAATGATGTACGTACTCTAATTGGCTATCATATAAGAGTCGTAGTTATTTGTTTTAGTTTATATTTTGGAAATGTAATCTAGCTAATAAATAAAATTTAAGAATTAATAATATGTATATTGGACTGGATAATTGGACAATTTTGTAAATATAAATAAATGACATAAGACATGAAAGAAAGTCGACACGACGCATTCCTGAGACGATTATATTCCGTGGCGTGTTGGTAAGTCTCAGCGCTGCCGGGGAGAATTGCTAAAATATTTCCTTTGTGTAAATTCAACAAATTGTCATTGAAGTCATCCATTCCCCTGGTGGTTGTTGCTGCCACGCAGTGATAGCGTGCTCCGAGTTCAAGACAACTGTACAACTACAGTGTAGCCGAGACAGTGGAGCTTCAAGTCTCGAAGCGGACGACGGTGTCCCCGGACTCCAGCAAAATTATAAATAAGTTGATACAATTAAGTTTTTACTGATGCTAGAACCTCTTGTGAGTTGAAGGGTGGGGCAGCCGTTATAATGATACTGAGACCTTAGAACTTATATCTCAAGGTGGGTGGCGACATCTACGTTGTAGATGTCTATGGGTTCCAGTAACCACTTAACATCAAGTGGGCTGTGAGCTTGTCCATCTATATAAGCAATAAAAATAAAAAAAATACCTAAGCTAACGAAAAAAAAACACGTGTGGCACTCGGGGAGTAAAGCTACTGCATAGCATTTTTTATCAATTTATGCATATATTATAAGACAATAATAATTTAATATTAAAACAATGATAAGATAAGACCATGGCGGCCTCCCCCCGGTGAAGGTCAAGGGGCGACCTGAGGGGGTGAGGCCGCGCGGCGCGCTACCAGCACTCTAGCGCGCTGCCGTGGAGTGATTAGAGCGACCGGTCGACGGTGTATCGCGTCCCGACCCGGCAGGCTGGTTCTGGTCCAGCGGGGTATTCCGGGACACCAGCGGCACCGTCTGGGCGGCCCGACGGGCTGCCGTACCGAGACGGCCGACGTTTCAGAGCCTTCGATTCGCCTCGAAGGCTCCGTCGGCTGGGCGTCCTTGGGGTGAGCCGCGCCGTCTGGTTGTAGTGTTGACCGCGGTAGCCCCCCTACCTCATCCGGGTTCTGACCTCGGAGGGGATCGGACGTCGGGTGTAAGAGTGCAGAGGAGTCGTTTAGTGGGTGGGCTCTAAAATCCTTGGGCCCGCGGTCTGCTCACAACACCATGCAGATCGTTGAGTCTCACATACCCCGCGCGCCCCTTTTGCGCGGGGACCTCGTAGGAGGTTCGGCCCTCTACCCGAAAAAAAAAAAAAAAAAAAAAAAAAGACCACGCTATATTTATAAATATTAACAAAAGCATAACATTAACTGTCCCCTTCACACTCATAAGCTAGACCGCGCGAGAGAGATGGGCAGACTTTTCATGATGCGCATGCAGTGCGACGTCACGCCGCGCGCTTATTCACAAACACTACACAAGCGCAGCGTGTGAATGTGTTGAACGCGAGCTACATGGCAGGAGGAGTGGGGGTATTAGGTTTTATTTTCGTTACGGAATTTCTTGATTCGGTCGCCGCGCTCAAAGCGATAAAAGCTATGCAATAGCTTAAAAACCAGATCAATAATGAACTACTTGTGCAGTAGAAGTGAACCAAACATAAGCACGTGTGAGCGTCTCGTCATGTTCTCAGATTACGTCATTTGTACGTCATCTCGTCTCGTCTCGTCTCGTCGAGTCAACTCACAGTACATATTGCGACTCACTTGTTTTTACAAAATTTTCCTTTTCTTTTACAACACAAAATAAGAAATAACCTTAATCATACTTGACGTGAAACTGAATAAGGGTTTTTTTGTAAATATGGAATATATCAATAGGTCAGAGTTAATAGAATCCTAGTAGGGGGCAGATTGCGCGCTTAGGGAGGTCTGATTGGAAGGGTTCTTCGCGTCACCAAAACCCGATGTCGTCTCGTCGTCTCTCTCGTGTCGGCTCGTCGCACCGCTTGTCGTCCGGTGCTGATGTTATTAGCTCGTCTGTCGGGGGCGACGGCTCGGAGTGTGAGCGGTCCCCG